ACAGAACCTCACAACCTACAGAACCTCACCGACCTACAGAACCTCTCTGACCTACAGAACCTCACCGACCTACAGAACCTCTGACCTACAGAACCTCACAACCTACAGAACCTCACCGACCTACAGAACCTCTCTGACCTACAGAACCTCACCGACCTACAGAAACACTGACCTACAGAACCTCTCTGACCTACAGAACCTCACAACCTACAGGACCTCACCGACCTACAGAACCTCTCTGACCTGCAGAACCTCACCGACCTGCAGAACCCCATTGACCTACAGAACCTCTTTGACTTACATAACCTCTTTGACCTACAGAACCTATTTGACCTACAGAACCTCACTGACCTACAGAACCTCTCTGACCTGCAGAACCTCTCTGACCTACAGAAACTCTGACCTGCAGAACCTCAAGGACCTGCAGAACCTCACCGACCTGCAGAACCTCTTTAACCTACAGAACCTCACTGACCTACAGAACCTCACTGACCTACAGAACCTCACCGACCTGCAGAACCTCACCGACCTGCAGAACCTCCCGACCTACAGAACCTCACTGACCTACAGAACCTCACTGACCTATAGAACCTCACTGAATAACAGAACCTCACTGACCTACAGAACCTCACCGACATACAGAACCTCACCCACCTACAGAAACTCTGACCTACATAACTTCTCTGACCTACAGAACCTCGCTGACCTACAGAACCTCACCGACCTACAGAACCTCACAACCTACAGAACCTCACCAACCTACAGAACCTCTCTGACCTACAGAACCTCACCGACCTACAGAAACTCTGACCTACAGAACCTCACTGAGCTAGAGAACCTCTCTGACCTACAGAACCTCACTGAGCTAGAGAACCTCTCTGACCTACAGAACCTCACGACCTACAGAACCTCACAACCTACAGAACCTCACAATCTACAGGACCTCACCGACCTACAGAACCTCTCTGACCTGCAGAACCTCACCGACCTGCAGAACCTCTTTGACCTACAGAACCTCTTTGACTTACAGAACCTCTTTGACCTACAGAACCTATTTGACCTACAGAACCTCACTAACCTACAGAACCTCTCTGACCTGCAGAACCTCTCTGACCTACAGAAACTCTCTGACCTGCAGAACCTCACTGACCTGCAGAACCTCTTTAACCTACAGAACCTCACTGACCTACAGAAACTCACTGACTTACAGAACCTCACTGACCTACAGAACCTCACCGACCTGCAGAACCTCACCGACCTGCAGAACCTCCCGACCTACAGAACCTCACTGACCTACAGAACCTCACTGACCTACAGAACCTCACTGACTTACAGAACCTCACTGACCTACAGAACCTCACAACTTACAGAACCTCACTGACCTACAGAACCTCACTGACCTACAGAACCTCACTGACCTACAGAACCTCTCTGATCTACAGAACCTCTCTGACCTACAGAACCTCACT